AGTTGTTTTCTGCAATTTCGGTCATAAAAAACAAAACAGGCCGGCCTCCTGTCAGAGGTCAGTTACAATTTGGGAGAGGTGCAGCGGAGCGTCTGTGGAGGGGACAGGGACGTCTTTTTGTTCACTGCGACACCTCTGCAGAGGGCCTGGTTTCGAAGTATAAACCAGCCTTTACGGAAGGATTTCATTGGCCCTAATCCTCTTCCGTAAACAGTCACCTCAATCTTTGTTACATTATTGTTTTTAGACTGAGATGTCAGTGTGGTTTTTAAAGCCTCCATCGGGCTCTTGTCCTTATTTTCGCAAGGTGCTGAAGTGTCCCGCAGGTAGGAGGAGTACAGCAGAGCAGCTGGGCTGTGTTTGTCCTGCATGAGAGCAACTTGATCTCTGGGTCCCGCATTTTGGCTTTGCATGGATGAAAAAAAGCCATCCATTTAGATACAGCCAAAGCTTCTAGTCATAGCTGGGTTATTTTCTATTGTTATATCTTACCATGTTGGAGATGCTGAAGTCCTACAAATTGTGACTTTATGATAAAATCACAGCCTCTCAAATTTGTTAGATTTGTGTTTGAACTTACAAATTTTATTAAAAATCTGATATTCTTGCAGTCTTTTTTTGTGTTTTTGTTTTTCTATAATGTTTCATTATCCTGATTTGACCTAGTTTAGACCAACATTGAAAAACAGTAATTTCTTACTAATAAAAACCTCCAGATCTGTCAGAAATCCTGTAAAAACCTTCTTTGAGGGACAGCGTAGGTGTTTGTGAAAGCTTCAAACAAACACAAAACGAAAGGTTTTGGTTTCTTCCAGCCAGACTTCAAGTATAAAGTAGACAGGATTGAGGATTTCTGTACACAGATATCTGTCCTTCCAATCTGTTAGGGTTGTGGAGTTTTTGCCACATCAGATGTTAACAAATCTAGGTGGCTTTTAATGCTGTATTAAAGTGTTAACCATTTGTACATCTTTGCAGTTAGGTAATTGTGGCTTTTTATTAGATATTTTTCCTTCTAATAGATTTTAGTTTTTCACTTCAGTAGTACCAGATTAATATTGCGTGAAATGTGGAAGAAATTTGGCAATTATTCATCATGTTCCAGTTTTTATACATTCCAAAAATCCTGTTTTTTATTGTTGTTTTTACAGTGGTCTGTGAACATTGTTCCCTTTGTATCTGAGTTTTCTGACCAAAATGGAGGGAGTTTAGACATGTGTAAAGTAGGGCTGAAACAATTCTTTGGACTAATCATGATTAATTGATTGTTGAAGTAATTGATCTATCATTAACTAGCTGTCCTCAAGTTGAAAAGTTTTAGTTTCACTCCATATAATTCTGTAAAAAAATTTCTTTGGAGAACCTTTTGCTATCGGTTATTAATCGAAAAATGTATAAATGTTACTTGCAACCCCAGTGTAAAGCAGGGCTGCTGCTGACAGATGTTTTAATAATCCATCCATCCAACCATATTAGGGCTGGGCGATATAGAAAAAAAGCTTATCGATAAAAAAAAATGCATATTGATCGATATCGATAATTATTGAAAAGATTTAAAACCAAATTTTATGTGCAGCTCTGCAAGACATTTTATGATATTGCTAAATGATCT